GAGATAGACATCAACTATTGCAGCTACTCAGAAAAGGAGGGAAAACTGGCGTGGGGGTGGCAAAGGGCCATTCTGCTAAGAGTTCCTGGTGGTGGTGGTGGTTGGGGGGGACCGTGGTGGGGGGAGCTTGGGATACACCCTGGAGGTTCAGAAAGCAGGCAAATGGAGTACTGCTAGTGAGAAGAATCACAAATGGAATTGAAACCCAGAGAGGCTAGTAAGTAGATTGGGTAGATTCCAAAGGGGCCCTCTCCAACCCATTTCAAATCAAACAAACAGAAAAACAGCCTTTTCATTTATAGAGCCAGTATGAGCTAGATCTAGAGACTAAATATAAGTTTGTGTCCCTGTCCTTAGGGAGGAGACAATTGTGTGGGGAAGCAGAAATTTTTCCTCAATACCAAATTAACATAAATACTCTGTAAAAATTAATTATTGACAGGTAGCAGTAAAATTATTCATTTTGATACAATGGAGAACACATCAACTGTGAAACAAGACTTGAGTTCAAATCCTGACTCCCCCTGTTGGAAGCACTGTGGCTTTAAGCAAGTTCCTTAACTTGGTTTTTTTTATTCTTAGTTTTGTCATCTATCAATATATGAGTAATAGTACCTACTCTCTGAAGTAAAAAAGATACAAAGGCACATGTGAAAGGGCCTGATGCTCAATAAATGTTCGTTTTCTTTTTTAAATAGACTTTCATCTCCCCAAAAACCTTTCAGTAGAAAACCAACACAGAACAGAGAAGCTGGTTTCATTGCATCTCCCTCCCTCTTATGTCTGGTTGTAGTTTACATCTAAGGACTTGCAGGCGTATTAGGTCATATATATATCTGTCATCCCAGAAAAGACCTATTCTAGAACCAAAGGAGAAAGTGATCAGGGATTTTTCTCATTGGTATTTTTAAATGGCTAAAATTTAAATATTTAAGCTCCTACTGGGAGTGTCTAGCTTCTTGCTTGGAATCTGTCCCCTTAGACAAGCTGTTAACCCCTACAGGCTTTCCTAAAGGCAGACAGTAAGTGGAATTCTGGTTTGTGTAGGCCAGCGTGCTACACTGGACCTTTAGGAATGTTTAGTTAAAAGCAAAAAATCAAAGCCTGGGCTAAAGGGCTCCTTCACAACCTGCAGATACCCCTGAAATGTCAAACCTTCAGTGGGAGGTCCTCCAGGAGAACAGGAGAGTAAACACTGTGGTTAGCCCCAAACACTCCCCTCCTCCATGTTTTGTAAGCTGTCACCAACAATGGGAAAGCCACATCACAGTCGCCATGCTCAGCAGCTGGTTTCCAGTTCTCAATGTCTGTCTTCATCACTGTAGTGGACAAAGAAGAGGTGTGGCTCCAGTGGTGAGAATTCAAACACTTCTCCAAAGAGCTACCACATTTGTGCCAGGATTGGCCTGCAACCCTGTCAATGCATTAACATTAACTATGGACGTTTCATAAAAACTGTTCATCAGGTTGTGGAAACTCCCCTCTTATTTCTAGTTTGTTGAGCAATTTTGCTTTTGTTGTTGTTGCTTTTAATTTAAAAAGTTGGTGGATTTTGTCAAATGCTTTTTCTGCCTCTACTGAGAGGATTATGTGGGTTTTATCCTTCATTCTATTGATATACATCATTTGATTTTGAGATGTTAAATCAACCTTGCATTCCTTGGGTAAGCCCCACTTGATCATGGTACATAATCATTTTATATGTTGCTTGGTGATAGAATTATGCTGAGGCTTGTGTGTGTGTGTGTGTGTGTGTGTGTGTTTTGTACCAGGGATTGAACCCAGGCGTGCTTTACCACTGAGCCACATCTCCAGCCCATTTCTATATTTTTATTTAGAAACAGGGTCTCACTGAGTTGCTTGGGGCCTCACTAAGTTGTGAGGCTGGTTTGAACTTGTGATCCTCCTGCCTCAGCCTCCTGAGCCACTGGGATTACAGGTGTGTGCCACTGCACCTGGCCTTGTGTTTATATTCCTAAGAGATACTGACCTGCAGTTTTCTTGTGTGTCTTTGTCTGGGTTTGGTATTAGGGTAATACATAAAATGAGTTGATACCTAATTCCAACATCTTCAGTTGTCAAAGAACTGCCATTAATTCTTCTTTAAGTTTATGATAAAATTCACTAACAAAGACATCTGGTTCTGATCTTTCATTGTAGGAAGGGTTTTTAAAAAATTACTAATTCAGTATCTTTACTTGTTATAGGTCTATTCAGATTTTTTTTCTTTTTGTGTCAGAATCTCAGTCCATTTTCTGCTGCTATAACAGAATACCACAGACTGGGACATTTATAAAGAAAAGAAGTTTATTTCTTAGCATTCTAGAGGTTTGGAAGTCCAAGGTTGAGAGGCCCCATCTGGTGAGGACTTTCATGTTCATCCCAAGGCTGAATGGCAAAAATCAAACCCACAGTCCCAAGTACTTTTGTAATTAGTATTAATCCCTTCATGAAGGTGAAGGTCATGATCTAAATTCCTCCCATTAGACCTCAACTCCCAACTCTGTTGCACCTGCTTTTTTTTTTGGGGGGGGGGGACATTCAAATCATAGCACCCTCTGAGTTGCAATTCTTTCATTTCTAAGATGGTGATAAAAATGTATATCCCACCCATTTCACAGGTTTATGGGATTATACATGAGAAGCAGAATGTTGCAAAGCACACATTTGCCAGGGGCCATTGGGAGTTCTTTGGGAGCAGAAACTACAGCAAATTCGTATCTATATCTGGCATGGAGCTGGCTAGGGAAGAAAGGAGGCAGCAAGAAGGGCAAGAATACCATAGCCTGAACACCACACACAACCTGGTGTTAGTCAAGGAATACTGCCTACCAGATCTTCAAGAATATCCTACATCTGGAGAAATGGGGGCAGTCTTAATAAGATTTAGTAATCATCCAGATTATTCTCTGCATTTAACTTCAGATTTCACTTGGAGAGAGGCCTAAGATCTGCCCAAGATCTTCAGTGGTAAAGGGATCAATGATATGACCAGTAACTGAAACATCTGTATAATCACAATTTAGATAGTATTTTTTACCCACATCTTACTGATCTTCAAAGCTATGCATTTCTATTTTTCAACTTGAGATTCACTAATGAAAGTGAAAGCATCCAAATCTGGATGGTCACACCACTAGGACACTGCCATTTCCCTATACCACAACCTCAAACATTTACCAGTATAGTCATGTACCACATAAATTTTGGTCACCAACAGACTGTACTCTCCATTTGTCCCATAAAATTATATGGCCTAGTGACCTCCTTGCCATCTTTGTTTGTATGTGGTGCTGAGGATCGAACCCGGGCCGCACGCATGCAAGGCGAGCGCGCCACTGCTTGAGCCACATCCCCAGCCCTCATTGCCATCTTTGTGTTTGTACATGTATGCTACATGATTCCCACAAAAAAAACCAATTACCTAACATTTCTCAGAACATATTCCCATCATTATGTGACAGGTAACTGTGGTTAATAGAACATTCAATATATTTTACAGCATATTTGAAATACCAAATTCTATTTTATTAGATTTTTTTCTTCTTTCATCCTGCTTTCAGCAATATTTCACATTCAGTGGTCCCTGGTAGAATTATTCTAACCTTCTATCTTAAGAATTCATTGGTCAGCCATGTACAGTGGCACACACTGTAATCCCAGCTGCCAGGGAGGCTGAGGCAGGAGGATCTCAAGTTCAAAGCCAGCTTCAGCAACTCAGCAAGATCCTCTCTCTAGATAAAATACAAAATAAGGGCTAGGGATGTGGCTCAGTGTTAAAGTGCCCCTGGGTTCAATTCCCGGTACTAAAAAAAGAATTCAGTGGTCACATTTGGCACCAGAAATATTTTTTAAAGTTCAATTCTCAAAACTAAGCCTTTCAGTATAAAACATATCTACAAAGTATATCTCCACAATTCTATCATTTGAGATATGCATCATTATTGCACCAAACACATTGGACTAGGTTACTCAAAGAATAAGAGTGGCTCACTAATAGAAGAAATATTTAACATACTGGAACCAAAGAAGCATTTTAACAAATGTATAGAAGGTTGAGGCAAACCCTTTCTGGCTTTATCAATAAAAACTGACTTGCATTCACAAATGAGTGTGAAAGCAGTCAGCAACAGAGAACATTACCCGGATAATTGAAGTTACCCACATCCAAAAGTTCTGAACCTGTATATGTGTCTTTATTGGGGGAGACTCAGGGCAGTGACGAAGGAAGAAAATGCTGAGAAAGAATTAACTGACAACTGTCACAATGTCTTCTTTCGATTACAACATAGGGCCTGTCCTTTCAGCACAACCTGTATTTCGGGGACAAGGAATGAATGTTTTGCTTCTCATTTTAGCTCATAAAAGGAGATCAGACTTGCTTGATCTCCTTGGGCTTGAAGAGGTTTCTTACTGCGTTCACTGGCAGGGTGCTTACATCTCTGGGCAGTACAGTAACAGGGAGGGTACAGTAACAAGCAGGGTGCAGTAACAAGCAGATGCAGGCTGCGATTAACCTGCAACCCCCTGCTCTTATTTATGAACAAGCCTTCAGTGACTTGGCATATATTCGTCTGGAACGCACCAGCACTCGTTCCTCGAGTATCCTCCCACCCCAATGATCTCCCCTTTTTAGATACAAATAAACCACCAAACAACTCCCCAACCCTGACCCCGCTGGGTCAAAAGTGGGTAACCGATCGCAATAGTCCAGTAGCTCTCGGTTTAGGGCTCAACCGACTTGGCAACCACCTGCCTCGCAGCATCCGCCTCCCTGCCAGATGTGAGGGCCCCAGAGCTGCCAGCGACGCGCTCCCAGGCTGCCTATCACTGGCCACCCCACCAGATCCCGGGGCCTGAAGCCCAGATGCAGGTACGCACCAGCACCAGCCCAGGGAGGGCGCTGCCGCTGGGCTGCGGGTAAGCGCAAGGCCAGACAGCCCAGAGAGTGCGCCCCCACCCTCCATTAGTAAAACGCAAGGTAAAATAGCTCCATTTACCGACATGAGTGATCACTGTGGCCAGTCGCCGGGTGAGCTCCTGGAGGGCCATTTCTTCTTTTAACAAAAATAGCATTTCACTGAAAACAAAACAAAACTACTCAATATTAAAAAAAAAAAAAGCCAAACAAAACTGTTTCTACCGCTGCCGTGGATGAGTTTTTAAAGGCATCCTAGCGAGGATGTTCTACACTCCCTTCTTCCTCGCTGTCTTCAGGCACAAAACGGGAGTCACTAGCAGCCAAGGCCAACTCTTAAGGGCCGCTCTGTTACAGCACTCCAGCCACGCCCTGCAGGGACTGATTTTATGGATGAAGTCTGGCGGCTTTCCCAACGTAACGGCTGGCATTTATAGTGCAGGAAGGGGCCGTTCAGGAGGTGAAGGAAGCAAGTCGCCCCAATCTCCCCAGGGCGCCCCGCGGGCTTCTCTGACCAAGAAGGAGAAAGGCTTTGTGGTCCGGGACGGTGGAGACTCTGACCCCTCCACAGAGGATCTGGATGAAGATGCACGGCTAGCGCCAAGGGATGGCGCGGAGCCTTAGTGCTCCCAGGGCTGCGGAAAGGAGGTGGCTGGCGAGCCCCAGTTCCTCCGCCCCTCCCTCCCCACGCCCAGTCTCCCGCCCGGCGCCGTCCGCCCAGGCGCCCACCTCTCCCTGCCCGCGGGCGGCGCCTGGCACTCCGGGAAGCGCGCACGCGCCCCAGCTCTGTCTGTTTTCGAGATCGCTGCGCCCCTTCCTCTAGCAGGCGGGAGCTGGCGCTCCGGCCCCAGGAACCGCTGGACACTGGAACTAGCGACTGAGGCTCTCCCGCCTAAGCAGGGGTTCAGGATGCCAGATGCGCTTCTTCCTGGTCTAGGCCCCACCTTCATCCCCGCCCAAAATCTGTGGAGAAGTCCAGGAGAGAAAGGGGCCAATTAGTAGAGGTGCAGTTCTCCCGCCAGGACGGGATGGGGAAAGCTGAGAGGCCCTTCTGCCTGCTCTCACGTCCTTACTCCAGTCTGTGGCCCTTAGGGAAGGGTGGGAAGGGACGGTGCAGTGTGTTTTCTGTTCACTGGTTGTCTTCACACCGTTGTCATCCTCCTCTGGGCACATCTGCACTGGAGCCCAGCAGGCGGGTTGTGCCTATGTTACAGGGCAGAGGCCTTCCATGAAACTGAGGCAGCAAGGGGGTTCTCCTTCACCCCATTCTTGAAATCATGCCACAAAGACTTGAGACACGTTGCTCAGAATAACAGGCATGAGTTTATTAGAAAGGTAGAGAAAGGGAACACTCTGAATGGAGAGTGTGTCTTCTCCAAAGAGAAGGAAGGCAGGCCTCTCCTGCCCTCCAATTTTATTTGGAGGTTTCAGGGTGGTTTCTAGAAAGTCACAATCAGGTCAACCTCTTGACTTTTGAGTGATGGCAGGATGATATGAGCCTTACAAGTCCCCAATTGTGCATGACATCTCTAGGTCGCTTTGGCCCACGAGACCTGTTTCAATTGGAAGCTGTTCTTACGTATTTTATGGTTAGGGGGAATTATCCTTATCTTCCCAAGTTCTGGGATCTGGTATGTGTGTGAGTCACAAAAGTCTCCCCTTTTGAAGTAAATTGTGTTCTTTTTTAACAGCATTTTGGACCTGCATTTCTCATGCAGATAACAGGAATGTAACGTAGCCTATCAACTTAAGGCAGGCAGGGCTGCAGGTAAATTGCTTTAAAAAAAATTTTGTTTCAGTTGTAGTTGGACACAATACCTTTATTTTATTCTTATATGGTGCTGAGGATCGAACTCAGTGTCCCACACGTGCTAGGTGAGCGCTTACCGCTGAGCCACAACCCCAGTCCCCAGGTACATTGCTTGTTTAAAAAGAAAGTATATGGAGGTCAGCACAGTGGACCCAGTATATAGAATTATTCCCTTAACCTCATGTTCCCACTGCTCAGATCTTTCGGTTCCTTACCACCTAGACAAGGCTGGGCACTCATGTGTGCACTCAAGTACTCGCCATGTGGGCCTTTTCCTTTGTTCAACTGCTCCCTTGTATTGTCAGCTGTCAGATGAGCCAGTGCTCCTTTCTGAAAAGGCTCTGGGTCAGCCTCCATGCTGGCCCTTCTTTGCATCTGCCCCAGAAGCATCTTCAGTAGATGCAATGCCTATTTTCTTCCATGGATCAGTACTATATGATAGGCAGCAAGACTAACTTGGTTCAGCAGAACTCCAGGAAAAGTCTAAGCAAAGGCTAATCTGGTCAGGATTTCTCCCAATCCATTCTACAATGGAGGACCCTCCCACATGTTCTGAGCCAATGCTGGGAATCTCAGCTGTTTTTTCTTCCATATGTAAAAAGCCAAGTCCCAAACACCCTGGGTTCAATTTGGAGGAGCAGTCACTCAAACTAGTGGAATGAGGACATTTCAAATTGCTTTCTGTAACACTTGTGATCTATGATTAAGAGATAATGTTACTTCACCTGAGACATGAAGAGAGGTTCCTGCTTCCCCAGAGGTTTGGGTATATTGTACTGTGCCCACACAAGCAGAACAACTATTTTCACAACAACTTCTTGCATGAGTTTCAGAAAAGGGTTAAAGAACCAAAGGAAGTGAGACTGCTTTGGAATGTGTCCATTGTGGTTCCTGGATATTCAAGGGTCACAAGTATTTTCAAATTACCAAATGAGGTGTTTCCTGTTGGTAATATTGTACCCCATGCCTAGCCAAAGCCAGTTGTGAGTTTTGGAATACAGAAATCAGTGCAGTACCAAGAAGACAGGTAAGGTGGGTGCATGCTAAGCTGGGAAGGTTGAAAGCCACTTTGAAGGTCTGGTGACCTCAGCTTTCTGGATTAGGCCAGGTCTTCATGCATGAGAATCTTGTAAAGATGGGAGGGAAAGATTGGAAAAGAAAAAGGAGAGAGGAGAAGCTTGTGAACAGGAACAAGAAAAAAAGGAAACAGATTGAAAGGAAATAAATTACACTTAGAGTGCTGCTCTCCTTCTGTACTTTCACAATCTTCAAAGGTTTCCATGGAGATAAATTGGCTCAATTTATGGTAAGATGCAGCAGGCAGTGCCTATCCTCAGAAACTAATTCTACTCCCATTTCTTAACACTTGCTGTTCAGGGTTTGGACTATTTTACCTGGTTGATGAGGAAGTGAGACTATGATCTCCAAGTTTCTTTTCCAGAAAGCTTTGAAATTCTCTAAGAAGAAATGACCATGTAGTATGATAGCCTATTCCACCTTATTCTTCTGAGAAAATGATCATTTTTCCATTACTTTTGTGAGTACCAACGTTCCTCCTCACCCTCTCTCCTTCATTGCTTCTTTTTCTGCTTTCTAATTATGATCTCTTTCCTGTCTACTTGACTGGGAAAATCAAAGAATAAGCCAGAATGGTCTGCTTTCCTCTCCAGTGAATCAGTTACAATCAGTTGCATCTATTAACATCTATTATGCTTGTGATAAGCAGTGCCAGGTACAACTACCAACACCAAATAACAAGTGACTGCTCTGCTCATAGAAAGGTGAAATATAGGTCTTTCTGATATTACTAGCTCATTTTAGTGTTACCACTTCATCCAAAGGTTGCTTAGTTTGAGATAGAAATCACAAAATGGCAAGCAGTATCATCCAAATAAAGCTTTGTTGGGGGTTGTGTTCAAGCACAAGGTTGACAGTGTACAGGGTAGAGTTCCTGGATCAGCCTTCTGAGAATGCAAAGAGCAAAGTTTATGTAGACAAAAAGGGTGGGCTAGTGCAGGCACACAGTCAGAAGCTGCACATGATCTTAGGACTTCTGCACATGTCTTGTCAGTTCTTTGCTCCTAGCCATGAGGTTTGCATTTGATGCTGGATCTTCATAAGTACATTGGGTTCCTCTGTGCTCTGCTGGTAAAATATGGTGGAGGTTATCACTGCCACCTCCTCAGGAAGACTACATTTGATCAAGTTCAAATGTATTGAACACACAGATGTTATAGGAAAGCTTGCGAGGGCGGGGGGGAGTGATGTCAGCGGTTCCTGAAGCTGGTCATTGGTGGAAATATATATATATATATATTTTAAGAAGCTTGCATTAGGCAGGAAACACTGATAGGGAAATCAGAGCCCTCCCTGCTTTGCTTCAATAGGGTGTCAGGAGTGCCCTTTTTTTTTCTTGTGAGAAGACTCTTGGTGGACCTGGAGATAGCTTCAGCATAGGGACTAATCATCAGAAAGACCAAACCTTGGTTAGAAACTTGGCACTTTGAGCATCACCCACCAACATTCAGGGAGGGGAAAGGGGATGGAGATTGAATTAATGACGAAAAGCCAATGATTTAATCAAGAATGGTTATGTAATGAAACATGTATAGAAATTCCTAAATTACACAGTTCAGGGATCTTCAAGATCAGTGAACACATTGAGATTCTGGGAGGGTGGTGCACTTGGAGAGAGTATGGAGCTGTCTCTACCACTACCTCCCATATCTTGCCCTAGGTTCTCTTCCATGTAACTGTTCCTGAGTTGTATCCTTTAAGCTAAACCAACAACCATAAATAAAACATTTTTTACTGGGTTCTATGAGTCACTCTATCATATTACTGAAGCTAAGGAAGTCTTTGTAGGACTCCCAGTATACAGCTGGCCACAAGTATGGAGGCTGAGGACTAGCAATTATAATTTGAAGGGTGAGGAAGTCTTATAGGACTGAACCTTTAACCTGTGGAATATATGTTAACTCCATATCAGAATTGAATTGAATTGATGAACACTCAGTTGCTGTCAGAGAGTTAGAAAAATGATATTAGCAAAGATACAACCTACTCTGCAGCTGATTAGATAGACAAACCCAAAAAGTGAAAGGTTACCTGTGCTCACACCATCCTAAGTCATCCTTTCCCTTTCTTGAAATCAGCTTGTCATCCTGAGCAGTATATGTGTATGTGTACACATATTCTGTCTGCCTCTACCTCTGAAATATCACTCTCCTCCCCACATAGTTCCTTTCTTGATTTAATTTCATCTTGCAAGTGTCTGAATTAAAACACAGATTAATTTCCAAATACATAGGATGTCTACTTTTAAAATCATCACATTGGTTGAGAAGAATAGGATCCTGAAAGTTGAAATGGAAATATATGAGAAGACTCTGTTGGAGTTCTGGGGACAATGAGCCCCTAACTTCTGATGCCTCTTCTTTTCCAGTAAAAGTGGTTTCTCCACCCCCACCTGAGAGGATTAGCCCTGCATTGGCTGAAGAAACTATGATGGCCTCCCATGATTAGTTATTCGCAAAACAGTGTTTATTCTCCTCCAGGACTCACCCTGACCTTCCCTTTTAGACCTACAATCAGGTTTGGGTCCCAGCAGGTCTTAAACATGACTTACAAAGTATGGCCCTTGAGGAGGGATGCTGCAAAAAAATTATTTGAGTTTTCTAACTTATACAGATAAAACATCTGGGGAATCTGTGTGGAAATGGACATGGATGATGATGATGATGTTGATGATGATTATGATGATGGAAGGAACATCAAGTTGGATCAGGCTGAATTTATTGATATAGGCCCACAAAGCAGAGAAGTTACATTTAATGTTGCAGCTGACAGAGGTACAAAGAGC